CAGGTGAGGGCCCTGGCCACACGGCGTGCCCGTTCCTTCTTCCCCATACCCCGCTCATGGGTCAGACGGCTGGTGCTGGGGTCCAGACGGTGTCAACAGGGACAGTCCCTGTCCTCCCCAGAGACAGAAGCCTGTGGCCCACAGAGGGTTTCTGGGCCCAGCCGATTCTGGGGAGGGTCCCGTGACCCTGCCCATAGGTTCCTGGCCTCTCTCGGGGCGTGGTGCCCTCACAGGTGTGTGTCAGGAGAATGGGAGAGGCTGCTTGTCCCGCGGGCTCGTGTGGAGACACCCCCTGCACGCAGCTGGGGCGCTCCTGCCCGCGTCCTCAGAAGCACTTGGCTTAGCTTTGCCCGTGTGCCTGGGCTGTGGGCAGCAAAGCCTGGCCAGCATCCTCCTATCTCCGAGGGTGCATCTCTCCTGGGAGGCCCCTCCCGGGCCTCTTCCTCCCCGCTCCCCAGATCATTAGGGCTATTTGGGGTCCAGAAGGTCCTCCCAGCCATCCTGGGCCTTGTCCTCCAGGGCCACCAGTCCAGCCAGTGACAACCACAGCATCCCTGGCCTAGAACGAGGCTGCCCCCAGCACATTCCTCGTTCCTGTCCAGGGACAGGAGGGGCTGCCCCTTCTCCCGGACCTGGGGCCGCTGGGTGTGAGGCAGGTGTTCCTGGAAGGCGTCACTCTCCAGGCACCCAGCGGCCGAGCCTTGTGGCTGGAGCAGCTCCTGCTGCTGGACCGGCGTCCCGCCCCGTGTGGCCGGAGAGGAGCTGAAGGGTCACTAAGCTTCGGGCTGGGGCAAGGACAGGGGACACCCCAGAGAGGTATGCCAGGCCTCCTTCCTGCGCCCCACTCTCGGCAGAAGCAGAGGTCACAGGCTGTGCTGAGGCCCCATGGGGCAGTGGTGCTGCCTTCACAGTGCCAGGGCAAGGCTGGCGTTGGAAGCCAGGGTCTGACCTGCACGGTGTCACCGTGGTCACTTCAGAGCTCCAGCCCCAGAGCCGCCCACCCTCGGCCCTTGGCTGTGGTTTCCCGGGGCTGGAGGAGCCTGCTGTGGTGTTGGCCACACGACCACAGGACCCGTCACCTCTGACATGGGCTCTGCCTGGGTCCCCACTGGACGGAGACCGCTTGGATCTCCTCTGGCCGTCAAGTCCTTGCCCATCCCAGAACTGGCCTTCTGGAGCCTCTTGCTGTCCCCGATGCGGGCTGGGCCCTGCCGAGGGCTTTTTTTCCCAGCGCTGGGAACAGGGCGGGTTTGCTGGGCTCACTCCCCTCAGAGACGCTGCGGGTGCGGTGGGTTAGGCCTGAGGGCTTTGGAGAGGAGCCTGGGGTGGGGCTCGGGCCTGGCAGGGGGTCCGGCAGCCCTGGGCCTCCCACCTCCTGTCAGGACCAAAAAAGGCAATGCGCCCCTCCTGACCTGCACCCGTGAGTGAACCCAACCTTGCAACCCAGGAGTGTCAGGGCCTGAGGGGAGGGAGACCTGGCTCCTGGGCGCTGTGCCCATAAGGAGGTGGCCACCTGCAAGGCATTGCTGGCAGAGGCTTCATCTGATCAGGCAGGAGGCTGGGTGGCCAAGCCCTAGATCTGGGTGTGTTCTCTGCCTGGCGGTGGGTCCTGCCCCAGGCACCTTCTCCCCTGGACTGGCTGGGCAGGGACAATGGGCCTGGCTGTGAGGAGGGGGCCTGGGCTGCCTTCTGCATTGCCGCAGCGACAGGGGACAGTCCCGCCTGCTGAGGGATAGGGGAATGGGCAGGCACTGAGAGACACTAACAGCTGTCCCGAGGGTACAGGGCCCTGTCTGGATGGCCAGGCCCATGTCTCGGGCCCACAGTGTGCCCCCCACCCTTGGACGGCGCCTTCTCCCTCCCCAGGTGTGTGCTGCCCAGCCAGGGGCCGTGGGGGAGTTCGGGAGGGCTGGCCTACATGTCCTGGTCCAGCTGTCCCAGGTTGGGTGCTGGGCTTCAGCCCTCAGCCCAGGGCCTAGGAAGCCAACTTGATCCGCCCACACAGCAGCCAGGTTCAAACGCAGGTCCCATAACCGAAGTGCTGCTGTGCAGCCAAGATGGGGGGCAGGAGCCAGCAGGGCCCCCCGCCCTCTTCTCGCACCACACTGGGGAGGCAGCACTGGTTCCGGTTCCGGTTCCTGGGCTGCCCCCTCAACCCCAGCCTACAGCGGGGCCCACCCTGTGCCTTCTGATGCCACTCCCACCCCACGCCCAGTCCCAGAGGCTTTGGGAGTGGGTGCAGGTGGTGGGTGGCGGGTGGCAGGCTGTGGGCCACACACCGTAGGTGTCATCCCTGCGAAGCACCTGTCACCAGCACTCAGAGCACTCACAAGGTGCACAGTCCCCACGTGGCCTCCTCAGTCTCCGTCCTGTGTCATGGGAGAGGTAGCTGAGGCACAGAGAACTCACCAGGCTGGGCTGGGATGTGGGGTCCCTCGCTGCTCATCCCTGGCCATCAGCAACCCCACATCTTCCCAGCTGGGCGGCCCGTGGTGGGGTCGGCACCCAGGACCCTCCGGGGTCTTGGGCTGTGACGAGTGTGCAGGCACCCACCGGTATCTCTCTCCCCACAAGGCATCTACATCCTCATCGCTGTGGGCGCTGTGATGATGTTCGTTGGCTTCCTGGGCTGCTACGGGGCCATCCAGGAATCCCAGTGCTTGCTGGGGACGGTAAGGCAGGGGGACTGGGGATTCATGTCCCGGGCTGCAGACGCCGGGGCCCGGGAGGGGCTGGGGGCTGCGTCTAGCCCTGAGGAGGGGCCAGAGCTGGTGCTCAGGGCGGAACCTAGAGTTCTGGGGGAGGTGGCTCCTGTGCCCTGGTTTTCCTGTTTGGTTTTTAAATTAAATCCCATCATGCTTGATCTCCATTGTGGCCAGTTCCTACGTGACCGCTTTTCTTTGTCAAAAAATAGCCACAAATATAACAGGGAGCAAGCCTTAGCTCTGAGGCGAGCCTCAGCGTCCCGGGCACACCGCCCCCAGTGGGAAGCCCAGGCCTGGCTGTGCCATCCAGGGCCTGGCCAGTCCAGGAAGAGAGAGCCTGTGCCCGTTGTCTCCAGTGGGGGAAACTGAGGCACATCCCATGGCTCCCCCTTCCTGTGGGGAGCAGGAGCAAGGGGGTGGGGAAGACCAGTCAGGGGTCATGCTGCTGCACACGCCTCCCTGGGGGCTGCAGACATTCTGGACTCACCAGCCTGTGACCCCAAACCTCGCGCCCCCCCCTTCTACCCCGTCCTGCGGAGCCTGGTGCCGCGTGGGGACATCGTGGGCTTTGACGGTTCCTTCCTGGACTGAGTCTCAGGCCCTGTGCCCCAGGGCTCCACACAAGCTGCTCACTCCTCGTCAGGTCGTGGGCTGGTGACTCCCACTAGCCCCTCACACACACACCGGCTGGGCACCTGGGTGTGTGTCCCGGGGCCCTTCCCACAGCCTGCCCTCTTTCCTCCCTCTGGCTACTGCCTGGCTCCAGTTCTTCACCTGTCTGGTCATCCTGTTTGCCTGTGAGGTGGCGGCCGGCATCTGGGGCTTTGTCAACAAGGACCAGGTGAGCCTGGGTGCGTGGGTGTGCCCCTCCCCCGCCACACCTCCCCTGTCGCGGGTGGGGTGGGTGAGGGGGGCACCCTCCTCCCCTGTCGCCGGTGGGGCGGGTGAGGGGCACCCTCCTCCTGTCGTCGTGGGGGTTGGGCTGACCCATGGCTTGTGGGAGCTCTTTGGGCTCCTCCTGGGTCCCCCGTGCTAGGAGGATCTCCAGGGGCTTTATGGAGGAGGCAGCATTGGGGCTGAGCACAAGGCCAAGCTCCCATGTCCCAACACCCCCTGGGCACTGAGAGTGCAGAGTCCTTGTTCTCTGGGGTCTGGCCTCGAAGCCACCCTGCCCAGGGAGAGCCTGGGAAAAGTGCGTCCGCCTGGGGCGGGGTGGGGTGGGGGCAAGGTGGGGGAGGTCCCCCCGTGCATGTGACCGCATCCCTCCCCCAGATCGCCAAGGATGTGAAGCAGTTCTATGACCAGGCCCTACAGCAGGCCGTGGTGGATGACGACGCCAACAACGCCAAGGCCGTGGTGAAGACCTTCCACGAGACGGTGCGGCCCGCGGGGGCGAGGGCGGGGAGCAGGGCCGCGGGAACCCGGCTGGGGAGTGTCTCGTCCTGAACAAATCCTGCCTCCGCCCAGACCTCAGGAGCAGGAGGGGTGCCCTTGGGACCTCCAGGACCCCTGGGCTCAACCGGTCCTCGGGTGGGAACCTAGTGGGCCAGGCTGGCCCAGGGTGTGGAAAGCTCTGAGCAGCGCAGCTGAGGAGGAAGAAGGCTGGCCCCTGGATGCGTTCTGCAGTGGGGAGCGCTGCGTACCCCTGCCGCCTCCCCGTGGGTTCCCCAGAGCCGCCATCCCCCGGGCACATCCAGGGCTGACCTCGCACCCCTGCTCTGTGCAGCTCGACTGCTGTGGCTCCAGCACGCTGGCCGCTCTGACCACCTCAGTGCTCAAGAACAATCTGTGTCCCTCGGGCAGCAACATCATCAGCAACCTCCTCAAGGTGCGCGAGGCTGCCGGGGCCGCGCCTGATCCCCTCGCGCCGCCCAGCCCCTGGGTGGAGTCGGCAGGTCACACAGCAGCCCCACGGGGAGCGACCACGCTGGGTGGCGTGGCCCCTGCCAGGGCTGCCCTGCTGGGAGGGTCGGGGTGGGACTGCATCTGGCCCACGAGGAAGGCAGGCGCCCTGCGCTGCGCATGCCGGGTGAAGAAGGTGGAGGCTCTGGGGGGGCGGAACTCACCTGCACCCCCAGCTCCGCGTGTGCACTTGTGGGTGTGGATGCCCCCGACAGCCTGTAGCTGGCAGGGCCTGCAGGCCGTATAGTGCCCTGTGGAAGCTGCCTGCTGAGGCCTCAGTGAAAGTCGTCAGTAGGTGCACATCAGTGATGCTGTAGGGGTCTAGTGACACCAATGATCGTGATCTCAGGGGAAAAGGGCACAGTGTGCCCCAGGCATTTCGCGTTTATGTTAAAAAGGGTGGAAAATAGAAAGCTGGCAGAGGCTGGGCCGCTGCACCCACCTGGTCCGAGGTGGGTGGGGGGTGGGGGCTGTTTCCAGGATTCCCCTCTGCACTTTCTGTGGTGACCGCGGATTACTGAGTGACAACAGGGAGCCGGGAGCCGAGGCCCGGTCCCTGACCACACGCGCCTGGCCACCCTGCAGAAGGACTGCCACCAGAAGATCGATGAGCTCTTCTCCGGGAAGCTGTACCTCATCGGCATTGCTGCCATCGTGGTCGCCGTGATCATGGTGAGTGGGCGGGGGCGGAGGGCCTGTTCTCTGGGCTGCCCCTTCCTCAGGGCCCTATGCTGACCGAGCGCCCCACCACCCTCCCGCAGATCTTCGAGATGATCCTGAGCATGGTGCTGTGCTGTGGCATCCGGAACAGCTCCGTGTACTGAGGCCCCGCAGCTCTGGCCGCAGGGACCTCTGCAGTGCCCCCCGAGTGACCCGGACACTTCTGAGGGGGCCATCACCGCCTGTGTATATAACGTTTCCGGTATTACTCTGCTATACGTAGCCTTTTTACTTTTGAGGTTTTGTTTTTGTTCTGAACTTTCCTGTTACCTTTTCAGGGCTGACGTCACATGTAGGTGGCGTGTGTGAGTGGAGACGGGCCTGGGCCTTGGGGACTGGAGGGCAGGGGTCCTTCTGCCCCTGGGGTCCCAGGGAGTTCTGCCTACTCAGCCAGGCCTCTCCTGGGAGCCACTCGCCCAGAGACTCAGCTTGGCCGACCTGGGGGGCTGTGTCCACCCAGCCCGCCCGTCCTGTGGGCTGCACAGCTCACCTTGTTCCCTTCTGCCCCGGTTCGAGAGCCGAGTCTATGGGCACTCTCTGCCTTCATGCACCTGTCCTTTCTAACAGTCACCTCCAACTGTAATCACAACATCCTGAATCTGTCATTTAATAAAGAAGGAACGTCAGGCATGCTACCAGGCCTGTCCAGTCCCTCAGTGCCAGTGGCGTCTGAGACCTAGGGGTTGGCCAGAGGGCGGGGGAGTCCGGCACGGGTGGGGCTCGGCTCTGTGGACTGTGTGGGCTCCAGGGTGAGGGGATGGGTTGGGATCCCTGGTGTTCACAAAAGGAGTCACTCTGTAAAATTTGCGGAGTTATTTATTCTGAGCCAAATAAGAGCACCTGTGGCCTCTGACACAGCCCCGGGAGGCCCTGAGAACTGGTGCCCAAGGTGGTCCGGCTACTTGAATTTATACATTTTAGGGACATAAGACATCGATCAATACATCTAAGATGTATGTTGGTTTAGTCAGAAAGGTGGGATGATTTGAAGGGGAGGGACTTTCAGGTCATAGGCGGATTAAAAGATGTTCTGATTAACAATTGGTTGAGTTTATCTAAAGACCTGAAATCAATAGAATGGACTGTCTGGGTTAAGAGGAGGAGTTGTGGAGACCAAGATTCTTCTTATGCAGATGAAGCCTCCGGATTGTAAATGTTTCTTATCAGACTTAAAAAGGTGCCAGAATCTTAGTTAATTATCTCCTGGATCAGGAAATAGACCCTGAAAGGGAGGGGGATTCTCTATTGAATGTAGATTTTCCCAAGAGACAGCTTTGCAGAGCCATTTCAAAATATATCAGAGAAATATATTTTGGGGTAAAATACTTTGACTTCTTTCAGGGCCTGCTGTCATGTTGGTATCTTATTGATACAGAGTCTGTTTTGTGAGTCTTAAGGTCTCTGTTTATTTTTAGGCAAGAGTTTCGCTCTTGTCGCCCAGGCTGGAGCGCAGTGGCGTGATCTCGGCTCACGGCAACCTCCACCTCCCGGGTTCAGGCGATTCTCCTGCCTCAGCCTCCCGAGTAGGTGGGACCACAGGAATGCACCACCACACCCAGCCAATTTTGTATTTTTAGTAGAGACAGGGTTGCGCCATGTTGGCCAGGCTAGTCTCGAACTCCTGAACACCCGAACTCAGGTGATACACCAAGTGCTGGGATTATAGGTGTGAGCCACCACACCCGGCCTAAGGTGTCTGTTTTAATGTGAATGCTGGTCAGCGGTGCCTGAATTCCCACTGGAAGAGGGTATAATGAGGCACATTGGGCCACCCACGGTCATCATGGCCTGAACTAGCTTTTCAGGTTTACTTTAGAATGCGTTTGGCCAAGAGGTGTCCATTCGGTTGGCTGGGGTTGCTTAGAATTTTACTTTGGGTTTAAACCAGGGAGTAACTCCAGGTAGCAAGGGCCCTTTTGTGAGGGTTCTCTGTGTTCTCTTTTGGGAGAGGCCCTGTGTTGCCTGCAGTCACTTCCACCCTGCCCCTTGGACACACGAGGAGCACACAGTGTCAGCAGGTGGGCAGGAGGGGTCGGGCAGCCAGGGAATGCAGTATGAGATGGGCTTGGGGTCGGGGCTGGGTGCGCTGCAGGACTCCTCCTCCTCCTAAGGGACGGCAAAGGATGGACACACTGCTCCCTCCCGAGCATTTGAGGGTCTCTGTCCTGCCCATCTATTTCCTGTAAATGTTCCTTTGAGGAGCTGGTGGCTAAGGCCTGAGCCATGTCTCAAAGGGGCTGGAGGGGAAGAAAGACCTCGTCCTACTAGGGAGCCCACCAGCCCCTCAGCGGGCGGTGGTTGGGGGGTGGACAGGCTCTGGGGCTCAGCAGCCCCTGCGCTACCGGTACTTTTCCCTGTGTCTGAGCTCCTCCAGCCAATGGGCTTGGTCTAGACTCTCCTGTCTTCCCCTACATCGTGGGGTGGGGCTTGCTCTGGGTCAGGCTGCTTTACCCTAGTTGTGGGGAGGGGGATGCTGGCACATTTAACTGACCCCTGGAGGAAATGAGTGCCTGGGAATTCATGTCTAGGGCTCCCAGCAGCCTCTTTGCGGGCCAATTTGGAAACTGTCCCCAGCCCTGCATTTTAGGGGGTTACAGAGTCTCTCAGAAGGCCCTCCTCCCCTGCTGCTCCCAACTTCCAAGCCTGCACTGGTTGGGGTAACAGGATGGTTCAAGGAGCCCCCTCTCTGCTTTCCACTATGTTCCCTGTGGGGAGGGAAGAGCAGTTTAAGGAATAAGGTATCCCAAAGGCGCACAGCAGGCCGGGGGCCGAGGAGGGGGTCCTGCTTCCCCTCCTTTTCTCTAGGCTGAGCCACAGCAGGTCCTTGAGTCCTATTTCCCAGCGGATGCCAGGACAGCAGGCCCTGGCGGAGTTCTCTCTCGAGCCTTTCAGAGGGACCAGAGGTCTAGCAGCCACGGGGAACTCAGATTCCTTGACTGTGTGGGGCATGAACTCTCCCAGCTGAGAAGGGGCACAAGGTGCCAACAGGGCCCAGTGGCCAAGGGAGACGCGGCTTGTCGAAGGGAGAACCTGGGCCCTCGTCTTCCCTTTCAGGGCGGGCAGCTGACCTGCCCCCTGGACAGGCTCCCAAGCACGGCGGAGGCCAAACCTTCCCGGCTGCCGCCCACCCAGCCACGCTGACTTGGAAGCTTGAGCGTTCAGCGGCCTCCATCCTGCCCGGAAGGACCAGGGACCTGGCCCCGGCTTCCCCGCAGCGCCCTCGGGGGACGTCTCAGTGCCTCCCGGAGCCCGGACCAATGCACCAGAGCTGAGGGCCCAGAGGTGTCAGGGTGGCCGGGCAATTGTGTGAGGACGACGCCCCGCAAGTTTGCGGCCAGGGCCCAGTAAACCCCTAGGGGTGGGAAAGCGTCGGCCCAGCCAGCGGGTAAAGCTCCCTTCACCCGTGACCCAGCGGCCACGAGCCCGCGTCCTTATCTCGGGCTGGGACCGCCTCTGCGTCTGGCCTGAGCGGGACCGTGGGATCCCGGGGAGCCCCGCCTCGCTGCATTGACGAAGCCCAGCAGGAGCGACAGTTACCGCTTCCGGTCAGGACCGGAAGTGCCGGGAACGGCATTCGTTCTCCATACGAGATGATGCACTTCCTGCCTGGGACGGCCGCTGTTCTCGCGGTTTCCGACAGGTGGCGCTGGGACCACGGGAAGCCGGCCCGGCTGTCGGTTAGTCGTCGAGCATTCTGGGAATTGCAGGCCTGGCCCCTCCTCTTCCTGTTCTTCTTGGTCAATTCCGGTCTTGGTTCCCCAACAAACGCCGTCCTTTCCGGGGCCGCTTCCGAGCCGGACCCAAGGGCCGGGGCGTAGAGTAGAGGGCCGGGCGCATGCGCACAGGGCTACACCTCCCGACAGGCGTCGGGAGTGGCGGCCCAGTGCCTTGTGGGAGTTGTAGTTCTGCAGGCGCAGAAGCCGCGGCGCTCGGCCGGCAGAGCACTCGGTTTCCCAGAGGGCTGAGCGCGCCGCACGGACGTGCGGCGGCGACCAAGATGGAGATGGCCGTGCATCCTTGAGCCGGTAGGTTTGTGCTGAGGGAGGACGGGCCACGGTGGCCGGCCGAGCCTCCGGAAGGTCACGGAGCGCAGCTTTAACACTTGAGCTCGGAGGCCCCGCTGTGCTCGCCGACCCCCGTACCTTGCGACCGGGCCCTTTGCACCCACCAGCATCCTCTTGAGGCCCGGACCCGGGCCTGTCCAGCCCGACTTCGCACCGAGAGCCAACTTGGCACTGAGAGTTCGTTTTTTCCCTGGCGGGGAGGTCTTGCTGGCACATAGAGTGGAGAAAGGCCGGGCTCTGCATTCATGTGGAGAAAGAGACGGCTTCCTTCAGCCTCCGGACATGAAGGAGTCAACTCTGCCCTTCCACTCATTGCCGGATCTCGCCGAGAACCCCGAGAACGGACTCCCGGAGTCCCTGTCTTGCAGCCCGATCCCCGCTCCCCCTCGGAGTGCCCCGCTGACCAGGCTGCTTCTGGCCCCGGCGGCGTTCTGCTGCAGAGGACGGGAGTGCGAATCTGGGAAGCAGGGGTCTGGTTGGAACTCCAGCTTCGTCTGCAACATACTGTGTGACTTGGACAAATTATGTCCCCCGCCCCGTTCCTGCCAGTTTTAAAACGGTCATCAGTGTGGGGGGTACTGGGTATCGCCTTTCCCTGGGGTGGCTTCTTCACTGAGGAGAGTCAGGCCTCAGAGGAATTGAGGTCCTTCCTGTGTTTGACCTGGTGGAGGGCACTGACAGTCCCTAATAGTACCCCTGACCCCATCCTTGTTGGGTGCACAAGACACAGGTCACCCTGGGCGGGCAAGGAGTGTTGGTAGCAGGAGAGCGGTCAGTGGATGGATGGCCGAGGACAGTGAAGAAGGGTGTGGATGGGCCGTCTTTTTTGCTTGGAAACGCAAGCTCTGAGGCACCTAGTCACTCTACCACTAAATGGGTACAGGAAGCAGCATTTGTCCAGGCAGCTGGAAAGGCAAGGTATGTGCTGAGTGTTACAGGAGGAAGGCCACTGGAGGTCGCTCCAGGAGCTGCGGGGATTTGCCTCTGCCTAGCAGGGCTGCTCAAGGTGATGGTCGACACCCCACTTTCCTGAGAGCTTGACCCTCAGATGCCAGGGCCTTGGCTGCAGATTCCTTGGGAGCTCCCGGGGATCTTCCAGCAAATAGGAGCAAACCTTTTCCCCATGGATCAGGAAGGTGCCGGCTCTTTGTGGAGTACCAACTGTTCACCCTGCACAGCAAGCAGCTTATAAGTGGCCCTCCTGCCTGATCTCAGCCCTGGGTTTAAGCCCTGGGTGGCTGCTTACTACTAAAATCGCTTAGTAGCTCCAAGCTTGCCTGCAGAGGGTTGGCACGATTAAATGAGGTAACGAGTCAAAAGTCCCTACCCTGAGTCCTAGCCTGTCAGGGGCTCTGAAAACCCAGACTTAGGTCGGTCCTGCCTGGCACCTTGAGGGGTGACAATGTGCTGGCACTGGACATAACCTGTTTCACACATGCATGCTCTGGTCTGAGGTTGGTCCTCTCCCCCACCCCACCCACCTGCAGTTGAGCAGCTGAACAGCGGCAATGCTGGGGCACTCCCAGGCCTGAGACGACCACACCTGTGCCACTGAGGACCTTCATCAGGGCTCCGTTCACCTGGCCCACTTGGCTGTCCGGTCACTCTCCAGTGTCAACCACTGGCACCCAGCAGCCAAGAGAGGTGAGAGGAGGGCTTGGAGGGGGAGGCGGGACTCCACCCTGTGTGGAACAGTTCTGTCAGTTGATTCTCTACTTGTCCAGGGGCAGTGGATCTGCAGGGGGAACTCATTCTCAATACTGTTCCTCCTGAGAGACAAACTTCCTGGGCCGTTTTGGTTTAGGTGTGGCGTGGCCCTGGGGACCCATGGCTGATGCAGGGACAGGTGAGCCGTCCCCCAGCGTGGAGGGCGAGCATGGGACGGAGTACGACACGCTGCCTTCCGACACAGTCTCCCTCAGTGACTCGGACTCTGACCTCAGCTTGCCCGGTGGTGCCGAAGTGGAAGCACTGTCCCCGATAGGGCTGCCTGGGGAGGAGGATTCGGGTCCTGATGAACCACCCTCACCCCCGTCAGGCCTCCTCCCGGCCACGGTGCAGCCATTCCATCTGAGAGGCATGAGCTCCACCTTCTCCCAGCGCAGCCGTGACATCTTTGACTGCCTGGAGGGAGCGGCCAGGAGGGCTCCATCCTCTGTGGCCCACAGGAGCATGAGTGACAATGGAGGCTTTAAGCAGCCCCTAGCGCCCTCAGGCCGGTCTCCAGTGGAAGGCCTGGGCAGGGTCCATCGGAGCCCTGCCTCCCCAAGGGTGCCTCCGGTCCCTGACTACGTGGCACACCCCGAGCGCTGGACCAAGTACAGCCTAGAAGATGTGACCGAGGTCAGCGAGCAGAGCAATCAGGCCGCCGCCCTGGCCTTCCTGGGCCCCCAGAGCCTGGCTGCCCCCACTGACTGCGTGTCCTCCTTCAACCAGGACCCCTCCAGCTGTGGGGAGGGGAGGGTCGTCTTCACCAAACCAGTCCGAGGGGTCGAGGCCAGACATGAGAGGAAGAGGGTCCTGGGGAAGGTGGGAGAGCCGGGCAGGGGTGGCCTTGGGAACCCTGCCACAGACAGGGGCGAGGGCCCTGTGGAGCTGGCCCATCTGGCCGGGCCCGGGAGCCCAGAGGCCGAGGAGTGGGGCAGCCCCCATGGGGGCCTGCAGGAGGTGGAGGCACTGTCAGGGCCTGTCCACAGTGGGTCTGTGCCAGGTCTCCCGCCGGTGGAGACTGTTGGCTTCCATGGCAGCAGGAAGCGGAGTCGAGACCACTTCCGGAACAAGGGCAGCAGCCCTGAGGACCCAGGTGCTGAGGTCTGAGAGGGAGATGGCCCAGCCTGACCACACTGGCCACTGCCATCCTGCTGCCTTCCTAGTGGGGCTGGTCAAGGGGCAGCCTGGCCACTGCCCAGCTGGAGTGGGAGGAAGCCTGCAGGCTGCCTGTAGGTGGCACTGGAGGCCCTGGCTGCAGCTCTAGGCGGCGTCCTCCCGAGCAGAGACCTGCTGAGGCTCTTGGGGTGTGGGGTGTGGGCTGGAAGCACTGGCTTCCTGGTGGGGACAATAAAGGTTTTGGGTCTTTCTCAGACTTTGTGTATATTTGGGCCCTGCTTACTCAAAGGGGTCTGTTGGCAGCAAGAGGTCCCCACACCTGACAGGGCTGGACCACTCAAGGGTGGCTGACACCTGCATCCCTTAACAGCAGATCACCCAGGTGACAGCAAGAGTTGGCAACCCCAGGCCTCCTCTAGGGCTTGTGGCTCAGTGGCAGGTGTCCAGCGAGTACCCTCAATGGGCCTGAGTGGGTCCAGAATCTGCCCTCCCCCAACCAAAGCCCACAGGATGCCATCAGCCCCAGGCCTAGTGCGGACCACAGCTTGGGAGGCGACAGGGAGATGACAAAATGGGTCTGGACAGAGAAGGCTGGGGCAGGTGTTTGACTGAGCCAGGGGTCCAGTTTTATCTGGGTGTTTTCCAGGCTCCACTGGAAATAAAGCAGCCACTGGCACCAACAGGGGCTGTGTCCTAGCGCCATAAACACCAGTGTGTGCTGTACTGGCCATTGGGTGTTGGGGGGACAGCTGACAGACGCCGTGGGTGCCCAGCCCTGTCTTCCAGGAGCCAATCACCTGAGCCCCAAAGGACCTTTTGGGTCTTAAGTGGCAGAAATTCTAACCAGTAGTGTTTCAAAAAAAGATGAGTCTCTTGTCAGGCAACACAAGTCAGGGCAGGGGTGGGTGCAGACCCCACAGCAGCTGCTCAGTCTGGATGGGGGTGCTCCCCCGTCGCACCGCAGGGCCAGCTTTGCGGTGCAGGCTGGTCAGTTTCCAGGTAGGGTTACGGTGGGGCACATTTTCTGCCCGGGGAGTTGTGCCTGTGAGGGTAGACAGCCCCATGACACTGCGGTGCCCCCAGGGAGGCCGGGAGGGACAAGGAGCTGTTCCTTTGGGTGAGGGTCTGGTGAGGCACCAGGAGGGCCATTGTCTGCTGGGGGGTCTGCTGCCCCCTGGGGGTTCCGCTGGAGGTCGGCAAAGGTCAGTGCACAAGACCCAGAGTGGCCTGCTGAGGTGAGGTGGCCCCACATGTGGCAGGCCAAGCAGCTTAGGTGTCCGAGGAAGGCTGGCCAGCCCCGGGTTGTTCCTGGCCATCTAAACCCCCTCTGTGGTCAGAGGCCACCAGCCGGCTTCCCCCGCCACAGTGTCGAGAGCCTGCTGGGAAGGAAGGCCCCCCTGAGCGGTGGGAGCCAGCGGGGCAGGCCCAGGAAGGGGAGAGGTAGCTGGCTCAGAGGCAAGGGCCAGGATGCCATGACTCCCAGAGTGAGTCCCCACAGGCCAGCCTGGGGAAGATGGGGAGCCCAGAGACAACCAGGCCTCCGCCTGCACTCCTGGGACTAGGAAAGCAACTCCCGTGAGGCTGAGGGGCCCTTTTGCCCCCTGAGCAGCCCTTTTGCCCCCTGAGCAGGACAGCCCGGTAGGGCCTGTGCCAAGCAGAGCCTCAGGAGTCTGAGTGAACCACATTTGACCCTGGCCGAGGCCGGGGCTCCATCAGAGGGTTCCCACACCGCCCTGAAGAACCGTGTGCAGCCAAGGCCTCCTGAGACTCCCAGGCCAGGCAGGGAAGGCAGAGTACACAGCACAGCCTACGGCCCCCCACCTGCTCCCACCAGCTGCTGCAGGGTGGGTGCCCATGCCCACCCTCATCCCACGCTCCCCAAACAGGCTTACTCCAGGGGCTGCCACCCTGGGCCAGCATGTCAGCCACAGAGGACACGAGCACCGAGCAATAGTTGATCTGGAGGAGGGAAACATGTCCGGGAAGCTCCAGGGCTCTCAGGACAGCAGGGGACAGGCAACCTCCCCATCTCCCCTCTCCTGCCAGGGCCCCGCTGCCCCGGGACTCCTCCCTCTGGGAGCTGCCACTCAAAGGCAGGGGTGGGTGAGGCGCCCGTGAGGCATGTAGAGTGAAACGCGAGGGGTTGTGAATGTGACACCCTCATTTAAGGCTGTGGCCTCTCAAGTGGCAGGGTGGGAGCAGGCACGGGTGGGACGGCCCCCTTCCCCAGGACCTTCCTCCACCCACTGGGGTGCTCCTGTCCTGGCTCTGGTCTGGCTCATTTCTGTGAACGACCGGGCAGGGCTGTGGGCAGGTCCCAGTGGCCCCACGCGGCCACCCGCCTCCCGTCAGGGAGAGGAGCTCCGGGGCTCGCTTGCCTGTGACTCCAGATGCTTGATGCGTTTTTCTTGCTCCCTCAGCCCCCCGAGGTACTTGGCAACGAAGTCCACTCTGCAGCAGGAGCAGGCGGGTAGCTGTGGATGGCCACGCAGCACTCCGCGTGTGGGGAGCCTCCCCATCCCCTCAGGCCTCCCTGTGTGCCCGAGTCTGGGTGCCCTGGCCCTTTCCCTTCCCCCCTCATGCCCAGATCTGGTGGCACCAGGACCCCTCAAAGTGCACCTGGCGCAGGTACAGAGCGCTCTGTGCCTTCCTGGTAGGGCTGGGGTGCCGTCCCTGCCTGGGCACACCACCCAGCAAGACGGTACAGGGCAGGCAGTCGGGAACAGGCCCCTGCAGCCAGGGCTGGAGGGAAGCCGGAGTGGGGAGTCCCACTCCTGAGACCACAGCAGGGAGGGCGCCACGGTCACTGTGCACGCTCCCTTTTCGCCTGGCCGGGCATCCCAGCAGGGTCCTGCACAGGTCAGGCTGGAAAGCGAGGCCCTTGGGCTTGGCCAGGGCCCTGCCCCTACCCGTTCAGCTTCGGCTCCCCAGCTCAGATCCTCTGTCACTGACGCCAAGGGCACATCCCCGCTTAAAGGCAGCCGGACACCCACCAGTGATCAGGACAGGCCCCCGCACCTGTTGGCGGTTTTCCGCAGCACTTCCCCCTCGCTGTCCCTCTTCCGCTTCTCCATCTTGCTCAGGAAGTTCTCCTTCTGCACTGTCTCCCAAGTGATGACCTTCTGGTCCAGGGGGTCTGGCAGGTCTCTCTCTGGGAAAGCGGGGCGGCAGTCAGCGTTACTAGAGCACATGGGCCTCAGTGGCAGAGCCCAGGCCTGGTCCCGGGGCGAGGTAGGCCCGGCAGGAGTGAGTGGGGCCCAGCCAGGGGATGGAGGGCGAGAACAACCCTGTGCAGGGACGGCCAAGCTGCAGGGGGACGGGCTCAGCGGTGCCAGCCTGCACAGAGCCCAGCCGAGGGCCCACGGGGCTGAGGAGGGGCCCAGGTCTCTCCAGACCCGCCTCCAGCGCACAGCCCCGCCCTGGGACCCACCGCCCCGGCCTCACCCAGGTGCTCCCGCTTGTGCTCGGCCTCCTTCTTGAAGACCCTGCGGAGGGCCAGGCTCAGATGGCTGAGCAGGATGAAGGGCGGGGCCAGGGCGGGGCGCTCGTGGTACTCCACAATCAGGTTGTAGCGCTGGAACTTCCAGAACATGTCTGCATTGCCCTGCACCACCTGGAACGTGTAGCTGCAGGGGCACAGCCGAGCCGTCACCTACCGGCCCCCCACGCCCACCTGGAACGTGTAGCTGCAGGGGCACAGCCGAGCCATCACCTACCGGCTCCCCACACCCACCTGGGGGACGCATCCCACCTGTACCCTGATTGCTGTTGGGGAGCCCTTTTTGAAACCGAGGCCCAGCACTGCTTCTGCACTCTCCTTGGGTCTTCCCCTGTCCGCTCTGCTCTCCTGGACAAGCCCAGAGTTCTCGCCGCAGCACCCGTCCCCCAAAGACCCAGGCCCTGCTTCCTGGGACCAGGAGGGCGGCCCACAGAGTTCGAGGTCTTGGGCAGGCAAAGCCCCGCAGTCCAGGCTGTGCCGCCTCCTATCTGCCCTGGGGCACCGAGCCCCACCCTCTGCGGCGCAGCAGGTGGACCGCGAAGGAGGCCGTGTTGGGGAATGACCCTCTGCTCCCTCCGCTCCAGGGCGCTCTCCTCCGGGGGTTGGGTGGAGTCACCTGAACATGGCGATAAGCAGGTTCATGAGCAGCACGTTGGTGACCAACAGGAAGGTGACCAGCAGGAGGATGACCAGCCAGTTGGCGTAGAGGCTGGGGCAGGATGGCGAGTCCTCCAGCAGCAGTGGGTGGGTGGAGCAGTTCACACGGGCTTCTGGAAGGCAAGGGTGCCGTGGGGAACACCACGGGGACCAGACCAGGGGCAGCCACAAGGGCGGCCTCAGGCAAACGCCCTGAGGTAGAGAGCTTAGTCTCAGTGTTGAACCCAGGGGACACAGGTGCTAGTTAGGTGACCCACTGTCCCAGTTCACCCAGGATGGCCTAGGTTTTAGCACCGAAACCCCCATCACAGCAAACCAGAACCAGACAGGTGGTGAGCCCCACCCTGGGCCTCCTCTGCCATGTCTGCTGGGCTTCCACCAGGGACTGGAGTCAGTCAGGGCCACAGGCCCTGGAGGTAGAGCCAAGACCCCTGGAGGGATGGAAGGTGGGGGACAGAGGGGTCATGGGACACAGGTTTCTGCCGGTTGTTGCGTGTGTTAAAACCTCCACCCCTCATCCCAAAAAAGCCTCTGCTGTTGAAGGTTTGGGGAAGCTGCTGAGGAAAGGGAGATGGGGTCCTTACTGCAGGACGTCTCAGAGCCGTTACAGCACTAACCCCTGTGATCATACTCCAAGCTGGGCAGTAATTCCGCCACCTTTCCAAACTGTATTGCGCCAGCAGGCTCCAGACAGGGCTCGCTGCAAGCCCTGAGGGCACCGATCCCACACTGGGCCACTCAAGTCAAGAACATTCTTCAGGCAGTGCACTCGGGGAGCTGGCAGGCTGAGCTCCCTCGGCCCTGGGCAGGGATACCCTGGAGGGGCAGCAGATCTCACTCCAGTCCCTTAAAACCAGAACCTCACACCGGCTTCTCCATTGCAGGGCTCAGCCTTGGACCCCCACCCCACCCCAGCCTGCAGGGCAGGAGGGAGGAGGGAGCCACAGTGGGAGTCAGGGTACTCAGGGTCCCAGCCAGAGGCCAGAGCATGCTCCGGCCATCCAGGACCACATATCCCCTCCATATCCTAATGGGAGCTCCGCTCTCTCCTCCCTCCCCAGCCTGCACACTAGGTTGTGTCTGTGTGAGCCTGTACATGTGTTTGGATGTGCCTGGCACACATGCTCATGTGTGAGTCTGTGTGAACACACTGGCACACACACAGGCACATTCAAGTGTGTCTTGGTGCCTGCCAGCTCCAGGTTGCCCTGTGGTGGGTTCTGGGGGTCTCCCTGTTCCCAGGTTCCTGCCTCTGTGCCTGGGTCCTGAGCTGGAGGGGTCCGTTCTCCTTCCTGGGGTGAATTCCTGCCTTGTTTCTCCCGAGTGAGTTATTGTGACACATTGGCCCGTGTGTGAGTTATTGAGTGTTTGTGTGTGCACTGGCAGCCAGTGAGCACCAGCCCTCCCCACGCTCCCACCCCAGGCCTGCCCCTCCTCTGCCCGCCCTGGCCACCTCCAGCCCATGAATCTGTTCCTGGGCAGACTGATGACCCCTCTTGTCCCTGCACTCTGGAGGAGCGGGCCAGGGCCAGCCTGGAGAGCCTGTTTGTGAAGCCGTAAATCTGTCTGATAAAAGCAGCTCTGAGGAATGAGACCCCCACACCCTCCCCGACTCTGTGATTTGGGAAGGCGCCACCAGGCCGGGCTGGAAATTAAATTGTCCCTGGGGCCTGGAGCCCCAGAGAACAAGCTCATCACCACAGCTCAACCCCAGCTCCAGCTTGGCACGAGTGCAGAGTGGGGCAGGGGGCTGTCCTGGGCTCTGAGGAGACCTGCAGGCTGTGCAGAAACTGTCTGAGCCTCAGTCTCCCTCTCAGCCCAGCGTGTGTGAGTGACTCTCTGCCCAGCGTGTGTGAGTGACTCTCTGCCCAGCGTGTGTGAGTGAGTGACTCTGCCCAGCATGTGTGAGTGACTCTCTGCCCAGCAGCAGAGGGGCTCACAGTGAGTGGCTGGGTTCAGCCTGAAGGGCCCAGACATTTGCTTGGCAGCTGAACTGACCCCAGGGAATTGCAGCTCAGAGAGGGGAAGTGACACATCTGAGACTCAGTGTGCGGCCGGGGCTGGCCCTGTTGTAGGCATTTCAGCACAGGGTTCTGAGATCCCAGCAGCACCGCAGACCTCCCTGAGAGATCCCAGCAGCACCGCAGACCTCCCTGGGGCAGCACTCGGAGCAGGCTCCTCGGGAGTCTGTTTCCCGCCTTCTCCCATCGACAAGGAGGCCATGGCCAGGCCTGTCTCCCCACATGGGTGTCTGGGACTGGCCCGCCAGAGAGGCAGCCACTCAAGAAAGGAGGGACCCCCAACCCTGCCCCGGCTGGAGGCGCCTGTCTAGAGCTCCTCCTGCCCCGAGGGGCCCTGCGGACAGGGCAGTGTTGGAGACCATATGGTGAGGGCGAGGTGGGGTCGCAGGCAGGCAGGGTCTGGTTAAACTAATGGCCTGGAAAATGAATGCCTGTGATGAGCAAACACCAAAATGTCAGGAGGGGCTGCGGGGGCTAAGAAAACAGCCCAAGGAAATGAGCCGCGCTGGGAGAGGCGATTTCCATCACGGCGTCGCCCACGCCTGTCCCGGAGGCCTGTGTTTGCTCCGGTCTGGCCGTCATCCCATCAACAAATATTTATCGCAGATCCTGAGCGCCACTCCACAGAGGTCAGGGTCAGGCCTGGGCAGCACGTTGTGCCATGACTGCCCCATGCTGGGCAGCCCCAGCCGCCTGACACCGCCTGAACAATGTTTCCAGCACCTTCTCTGCTGGATCTCCAAGCATATGGCACCCCTCGAGGGCCCCAGGGGCTGGCTGGCTGCTGGCCCACCTTCCCAGAGGTGTGCGTCCCCTCCCAGGTCGGGGCTCCTCACTGAGTCCCAGCCATCCCAGGGGACTGCACAGGTCCCTGCCCCATCCCTGAGCTTCCCCATCCCTGAGCTTCCCACCAACCCATCAGCACAGAGGCCCCCATGGCCAAGCGGCTCTGTCCCCCCACCCCGCCCTCCCCACTGCACTGGCTTATGAAAAAGTTTCCAGAGCCTCCACCAGCCCCAGCCAGCTACAGGGGTCGGCCTGGGGACACCCACAGGCACGGACAGGCCACACACACACATTGGGGTGGGTCCCCAGGAGCAGCCAGGGTGCCTTTAGGAGTGGCTGCATGGTGGAAGGACGGCATAAGGGCTCTGGTGGGTGGGTGGGTGACGGGGCACCTAGGTCAAGCAGGGCCCTGTGGGAGAAGGGCAGAGGCCAGGGGCCGTGAGGAGAGCCAGAGGGCCCAGACCCTGGACGATAGCTGGGACAGCCTTTGGGCCCAGGCCCAGACCCTGGACGATAGCTGGGACAGCCTTTGGGCCCACTCTGTGCCCTTAGTGACTGCCCATCCCTTCGCCCCCGAAAGACCACCGCCAGAGCAAGACTTGCCGCTTGGCCTTCCCAAGCAGGAGGCCAGTCCTGGCTGCCTTGGGGTCTCCTTGTGTCTCCTTCCCAGCCCAAGGCCCCAGGTCGGGGCTCCGTGACTGGAGCTGCCTCTGCCTCGGGAACCAGGCCTGGCCCTTTGGGGTGTGGGGGGCCTGGGGACCAGGCCTCAGCCACTTTTCCCATCTCTGCCCCAGGCTGGGGTCTCCCTGGCCCCAGCAGACCCCTCTGGAGAGACTCGTGCCCAGGGCTTGTGCACACAGGGCTCCACTTGCTCCCCGCCCCGCCCTCGCTGGCTGTGTGCAAACCATCGATCTCGTCCAGTGGGATCTGCCCGAAGATCTGCAGGTAAGGCCGGTAGAGCACCCGGCGGAAGATCCACTCCAGGCGGCCGTCATGGGGGTGCAGCAGCGCCTGGGTGGTGACGCCGTAGGCCACAAGCCACACGCTCAGAAAGAAGAGGAAGAAGAAGACGTCCTTCATCTCCACAGGGTGGGGCAGAAAGAGGGGCGTCAGCGGCCAGCCAGGGGCCCGGGCAGGGACTGTCTGTCCCTCCAGGGCCAGGCCCGGGGCTCACCATGCGCTCCACCACGATGATCTTGGGGCCCAGCTGCTTGTGTATGGCAAAGATGTGGATCAGCCGCAGCGTGAACACCATGAAGTCCATGGCGAGGACTGTGCGGCCAGCCTCAAACGCCAAGGGCAGCATCCTGGAGGGTGGGAGGCTGATGCGGCTGCAGGGCCCAGAGAGGGGCAGAGGCTTCCCCAGGGGCACACAGCATGCTGGGTGTGGGCAGGGCCAGGGCCAGGCCAGGACTCCTGAGGCCCTGAGTGGCTTCATCTTTTGTTTATTTATTTTTAGCAGACAGGGTCTTGCTCTGTCACCCAGGCCGGAGTGCAGTGTCGTGATCACAGCTTGCTGCAGCCTCAAATTCCCTGGCTCAAGTGACCCACCCCCCTCAGCCTCCTGAGTAGCTGGGACCACAGGTGCCACCACCACGCCCGACCTGAGTGGCTTCATCTGGAAGCCTGCCCACAAGCCCCCCTGAGGCCACACGGCCTCTGGGCCCCACAGACCTGCAGGTGACACCCACGATGAACAGGAAGATGGCCACCATGTCACACTTGTTCCAGTTGTCCCCCACATACAGTGTGAACTTCTTCAGCAGGTGTGTGTCCTCATCTGTGAAGAAGCCCTGGGAGGGAGGCAGGCAGTCCACTGATAGCTGTCCAGGTCCCCTCGCTGGGGACAGCCCTACCTGGACAAGCTCAGATCTGTAAGGATCAGGGTTCAGTGTGCCATGGGGATCGGGGTTCCATCTATGACCAGGGCCCAGGCTACCAGTGGGACTGGGGGTCCACTGAAGCTATTTCAGGGCTGTCTGGGGACAGAAGTTGAGGTCAGTCTTCACTTGGAGTCAGGGCTTTTTGTGCCCAGAGTCTAGGGATCAGTTTATTCAGTGTCTGGACTCAGTCTGTGATACAGGTCAGGGTTCAGACTCTGAGGAAGGAGACCATGGTCATGCTCAGTCTGGGGCAGGGATGAAGGCTCAGTCTGGAGCAGGGCTCAGGGCTCGGTCTGGAGCAGGGATGAAGGCTCAGTCTGGAGCAGGGCTCAGGGCTCGGTCTGG